GGTGTATTTTATTACCTTAAAAGAGGAATTGATTTAATTCTGGGTTTCAAATCTTTATTGATTATATGAGTCAACTGAAATTTCATTGGTTAAAAACACTGCATGTGTGTAATATTAAAAAGAGAGATTCAAAATAAATACTAAAACTGAGTAAGTCAGGGTTAAGCATAGTTGATAAATATATCTCTATATATCTCTATGGTTACTGAAGGGAGCTCTACAAAAAGATGCTCCAGAGCTGGAACAAACTGAACGTGTGGCGTATTCTTTATTAGCAGCGTGCCTCTATAATCTGCATCATGAGGATTCTTCTAACTATGACACAGCATGAATACAAACGAACGTCAGCTCAGCTAATGTCAGCAGATTAGTGTAAATAATTCATGGTAACTGAGTCTTGAACAGGCCTTCTTCTCTGATCAGCTCTTAAAGGAACAAACTAATAACCAGTTACAGGACTGGACCTGTTCAGAGAGACCTGCATTAATTGCCGTATTGATTCCCAGGAGAACAAAGAGAAGCTTGTTTCAACATCTATAATTATTTTTACCTGTGGGTCGCTTGGTTGGAAACAGGATGCTCTTCTCAGGTTGGATTTAGCTGGTTTTGCTCAGCTGAAAAACCCCTGAAACCTGTTCCCATCCCGTCCCACACAGGAGGAAGCAGCAGGACGGGGAGGAAAATACAACCATTTAAGGAGGAACATTTCTATTTGCACCCGTCAGAGACGGGTTTCTGTGGAGGAAAGTGGCCTCCTGGCGATAATCTGAAAAAGCCCTCAGCGGAAAACAGATCCCCTTTGGGACGAGGATCAGGATCAGGATCAGGACCAGGACCAGGACCAGGATCAGGATCAGGATCAGGATCAGGATCAGGATCAGGATCAGGACCAGGACCAGGGCCAGGGCCAGGACCAGGACCAGGATCAGGATCAGGATCAGGATCGGGACCAGGCTCCGGACGTCTAGCTGAGGCTGCAGGTCTTTGACTGCGAGGCCGCCGCCGCTGAGGGAAACACAGAAGAGAGGAGTCAGTTATTCTCAGCACTCTTCAGTTAT